GAGATCTACACTTTTAGTTTAGAAAGTTTTTCGGCGTTTACAAAATTTGAATTTTAAAATTTTGAAATTCAAAACAGATTTTGCATAACAAGATGTTTTCAAATCAAAAGTTGTAAACTACAAAGTTTCATAACTTTTCGAGATCTACCCTTTTAGTTTAGGAAGTTTTTCCATCCGAGGTCGTTTACAAAATTTGAATTTTAAAATTTTGAAATTCAAACACAGTTTTGCATGACAAGATGTTTTCAAATCAAAAAGTTGTCAACTACAATGTTTCATAACTTTTCGAGATCTACAGAGTTTATTTTGGTTGTTTTTTCATCCGAGGTCGTTTGAAAAGTTCAAATTTTAAAATTTTGAAATTCAAACGCAGTTTTACATGACAAGATGTTTTCAAATCAAAAAGTTGTCAATTACAAAGTTTCATAACTTTTCGAGATCTACAAAGTTTATTTTGGTTGTTTTATCATCTGTTCATCCGACATGGTCATTCTAACATTATTCACAAATCTTATATATCTCTCTTATAGTTTCATAAACTACAAGAGAGATATGTTAGATTTGTGAACAAATTTATTTTTACTTTATCGTATGAAGAAAAGACCAAAACAAACATTGTACATCTTGATGAGTTATACAACTTTGTAGTTGAAAACTTTTTCATTTGAATTAATTTACTGCTTCAAAATGTGCTTTGAAATTTTCTTTTGCGAGTGTAAAAAAATAACACTCGGCAAAGAGCTTCTTTTTGAGAGTGTAAAAACACTCGGCAAAGAGACTCTTTGCCGAGTGTCAAAAAAAACACTCGGCAAAGAGCCTCTTTGCCGAAAGTGTCAAAACCAAGTGTCAAAAAAAACACTCGCAAAAAGAGCATCTTTGCCGAGTGTAAAAAAACACTCGGCAAAGGCGTATTTGCCGAAAGTGCCCAAAAAGAACACTCGCAAACCAAACCACACGACACTCGGCAACTGGCGGTCTCCGTAGTGATATAGCCATTGACATCTCCATCTGCTTTTGTTTCTTTTACATAGGTCAATATGCTGCTGACAACTCGGTATCACTATCACCTCTGTTTCTAAATACATGACATTTAGGATGGTATTAATTCTTTTTGAACTCTTTTTTGAATTAAGTAGCTTGCTCTAAATATCAGATGTATAAAAATGGATGGGGTATATATAGTAGTACTTTGCTGGGCTCTAGTTAAGTCTTTGTCTCAAAAAGAGGATGCAGTTCTAAATTGGGTCAACGTCGAACTATCTTAAATTTAGCTAAATTTATAGAAAACAATATCAACACAACAAACTATGATACATATTTAGTATGATAATAATTATTATTTTATACAAATTTGGTTAAATTCCAAATTACATGACTTACCCCAGTATTTTAGAATTACACCGTGTCTAGAAACATAGGAAGTACCACACTAGCTTTCATTGTCACTAGAGATCAATACACTTACCAGGGGCGAAACTATTTGACTAAGATTCCACCACATATGTATTTTTCATAACACAAGTGTATGCACCTATAACGCAAATGCATCTCTTCAATTTTCTTTAGCTTTGTCATTGCTGGATATGCACTATGGAACTAGCTATGGATTGTAGGCAACATGGGGATAAGCGGGTGGGTTTTAGGATGACATGCCCATAGTACTCTCTCTGATCAACAAAAGCCGACATCGAACTCAGGCAGCATAATTGATATTAGCCCTCGCTGGTCCAAGCAAACCCTTAATTTTGGTGGTTAGTGATCGTTTTCTATAGTTTCACGTGGTGCGAGCATAATAATATCCCTTGTTAATGTATTGCGCAGTTCCCTTGTGTGTTTGGGCTTCGAGGGAAAAACAAGCATAAGGAGACCGCATATAGTATCAAACAAGACAAGAAGTTGACAACGAGATGCCAGCAGCAATTCACGAAACTGAATTTCCATAAATACAATTAGCTAGTCGAAATTACTTCAGACCGTTCACTATTCATAAACCTTGCGAGCGGTTGTTTATAATTCAAAAACTTCTTACTAATTCACAATAATACATGTCCCTCAAAAAGGGGGGGAAATTCCTGGGCGCAGGCACGCGGTCACAACTCACAAGCGGCAGTGCCCTTCAACTGCGTGCCTGCATCTGCCTATGGGCATGCTGGCATGTTAGGACAGACGAGTGAGCCGTCTAGCAAATGCAAATCCAGTTTCGAGAGGTACCCTAGAAGGTAAAAGCCGCCCATCCTACCACGGTACCCAACCTTTGTACCTCTCCACCACCGGCTTTGGCTTCCGATCTCCGATGACGCCGACGGGCTTCTTTTCCGGTACAGGTACAACGCTCTCTAGTTCGTCCATGCAAGGTTTGACACTCGTGACGACGAAGTTGTTCGGCGCACAGGCAACAACAGTCTTCATCGGCTTGGGAGGCAGCGGAAGGCGGAGGAACACCACGGGGCACGCGAAGGTATCGATCAGAACAAGGACATGGGCGCCGCCCCGGGCGTTGCGCGGGTCGGCGCAGGCCGCGGCCACGTGCGCGCATATCTCCTTCCGGGACGCGACCACGGCGCCGCGGTCGAACGGGTGCGCGACCAGCGGGAGCACCTCCTCGGCCAGAGCTCTCTCCACGCTCTCGGGCCCGCGCAGTTTGCGCGATGGCCGCCTGCGGAGGGCGATGTCCTCAGCCACTTTCACAGCGATGCGGGTGCAGCCTGGGCCGACGACGGGAAGTGCCTCCGGATGACGATCCTCGCGTCCACCGCCAGTGCGGGGGCTGCCGTTGTCGTGAACCTGCTTGTTGTCGACCTCCGCGGTTCGACGACGGTGTCGTCGAGTCTGTGGCGAAGAAGGTGGCGAGCTGCAAGCGCCTGGCGAGACGTACCGCCGGCACGCCGCCGGGAAGACGACGATCCATGTTGCTTGAACGGATCGAGTGGGCGGATGATGGATCGAGGAAGCGGACGAGATCGATGGCATCATGTGTATACTAGGCGTGGCGGGGAAATTGATGGTTCCCTGGTTCGACTCGGAAACTGTTGCCGATCCCGAATCACCCAATCAGGTGTATGTTTCGGAATAGGAATAGGCTTCTTGTGTATACCTGATCTGATGGGCGATGTGCGAGGGCGATGGCTGTGTAGGTCCGTACAAGCGCACAAACAGAGCTTGCCTCTCTAGGTCATCTGATTTCCTATCACGGGTCAACGGTTATTCATGCGTTCCGGCGCGAATTCGGACACAGTTTTTGGATGAGGTGTGCGGTGTGCCATACGTGCTGCAGTGCTGCCAAGTACCAAGTCACCGTTCACCGACTATGGGACCAGTTAGTTCAGGTAACGGTAATGCTACATGTCCTGGCGTCCGACGCGCTTCTTCACCACCTCGGACGTGGCTCGTGCTCCTCCACTCGCTCCCTCGCCTTATCCTCATCCACCTGTCCCACGTCACTTAGCCCGCTCCACGGAGGCGCCGCCGCCGCTCCCTCCCGAGCAGCTCGTGGTGGCTGAGCCGTCGCGCTCCCAGCGCCGTCGCGCCTCCGCGACCCCATGCCACGGGAGAGGAGGGCGACGGCGGCGACTTCCGGCGAGCTGCCTCTCTCTCCCTCCCCCCTCCCTCCTTCCCTCAGCGACCTCCATGTCACAGGGGAGGAGGGCGATGATGGTGGCTTCCGGCGAGCCGCCCCTCCCTCCCTCCCTCCGTGACCTCCATGCCACCGGAGAAGAGGACGATGGCGGCGGCTTCCGGCAAGATAGGTGGGTCCTTCTCTAGATCTGAGTCCTTCTCCTCCACCTCCTCCTCCTCTTCCTCTTTTCGATCTAAGGGATGTGGCGGTGGCTAGGGGTTCCTTGAGCTCTCGGGGTCGAGATCTCACCGTGTTGCAATGGTTTTTTTATGTTGCAACAGATGATTTCGAATGTTGTAATGGAATTTTTTTTTGGTTATTGCAACAGATGTTTTTGCGATGTTGCAATAGTACTGCTTAAGATGTTGTAGTATGTTTCAATTGCTTCAATCTCATGTTGCAATAGTTGTTCCATGTTGTTGCAAGTGTTTTTATTTCGAGCGTTGTTTCTTATGCTTCACACCAGTGTTGCAATAATATGTTCCAAATGTTCCAGCTCCTTCAACCTAGTATTGCTGCAGTTAGATCGGTGTTGTTGCAATAATATGTTCATGGCGTTTCAGCTGCTTCAACCTAATGTTTCAGCTATTGTTCGTTGTTGTTGCAATAGTATATTCATGGTGTTTCAACTGCTTCATCCCAATGTTGCAGCTGTTGCTCCTTGTTTATTGTAATATATATGTTTCATGATGTTTCAACTGCTTCAGCCTAATGTTGCAGTAGTTGTTTCCGTGTTGTTGCACGTATTTTATTCCAGCTTTCTATGTTGTTCGGCCGGGGAGGGGCGAGCCAGGACGGACGGGCTGCGGAGCGATCTGGGGGCGTACGGACTCGCACGACACAGAGCCTAGCGGGGCTCTTCGTAGGCATCGCGGGTTGCGGGTTCATCGGTGTTAGCGGGGCTCTTCGTTCGAGGAACGACGAAGACGCCGCAGCTGCAGTTCGCGCGGACGCACGATCTTAGGGTGACGACGTCTGTCCATGCTCCTGCCCTGACCTCGTAATATCATCAGCGGGTCCGCTCTTTGCGTGCGTCGTCGGAGAGCGTGCTGGTAGCGTGCGGTGCAGAACAAGGAAGGGGCGCGCTGGGAAAGTGCGTGCGCGGCACCGTCCGTCGGAGGTCGGGCGCCAGCACTGCCCGTTCAGGTAAGGGTCCCGCCCGACCTCACCCCACTCCGGCCGCAAGGCGTTTCGTTCATTTGCCCGGGAGCGGGAGCCTTCCTGGAAGCGGCCACTGAACTTCCCATCCAATCCCGAGCAAAGAACTCGCGGCCAATCTACAAGAAGCGAGTTTTTTCATTCGCCAGCTCGCTTCACAGCTCAAGATCTCCGTTCCTAGAACAAGTCAACTCCCCCCTCCTTGGCTCACGGCACCTCGTCGTCCATGGATCGGCTGAGTAACATGCTGGGGGACCGACCGCTGAAGGGCATCTTCACGGCGCTCGGTCTCCCGGATAAAATCGGCGGCGCGGTAATCGACGCTCTCTGCTCCCGGGGCGCCCGCCTGTGGAATGTCGAGTAGGAGGCCGACAAGCTGCGGCGCACCAAGGAATGCATCCGCGCCGTGCTCGAGGACGCCGAGCAGCGCCGCTTCGTCGACCACGACTCCGTCAGGCTCTGGCTCCGGGAGCTCAGGGCCGCCGCCTTCGACGTCGACGCCCTGCTCGACCGCCTGGGCACCATCACGGCCGTGTCCAGGCTAGCGGCTGCCGAGCAGTCGCGGAAGCGGAAGCGGCTCTGGCCCAGCGTCGAGCTCGGCCCGCGCAGCAGCGGGGGAGCTGGATGACAAGATCGCCAAGATCAACGAACGCCTCGACGAGATCAACAGGGGCAGGAAAAGGTTCAGGTTGCAAGCTGGGGACGGGAGGAGGACGGAGGCTCAACCGATGCAGCGCCCACGGTTCCTTGAATCTGCCGCGCATCGCGACGAGAGGCCCATTGGCCGCAACGAAGAGATGGAGAAGATTGTCCGTGCTCTGGTTTCTGACAGTGCAGAAATGGAGGTGATTTCCATCTGGGGAACCGCAGGCGTTGGGAAGACAGCACTGACATAGTCGGTTTACAACTTTACAAAGATCCTGAGGTACAAAACTTCTTCACTGACAAGATCTGGGTTTGGTTACCAGATAGGTGTGATGTGAGGAAGGCCACCAAAATGATCATTGAAGCTGTGACCAGTCAAAAATGTGAACTTCTAAGCTTGGACATATTGCAGCAACGGCTGCACGCCCACCTACATAAAAAACACTTCTTGCTGGTGATTGATAACCTTTGGGCAGAGGGCTTTCAGTTCTGGGAATTTCTGAGGCCCTCATTGACTGGTGGAGCGGGCGGAAGCAAGGTTCTGATCACTACTCAGCACGAAAGGGTGTCTAGGATGAGTTCCACCATTCTAAACATCCATTTAGAGCGCTTGGAAGATGAAGAATGCTGGCAAATCCTCAAACTCTATGCGTTCTTGGGGTGGAGCAGCAGAGATCTGGAATCCATTGGGCGGAGGATTGCCGCCAACTGTCAAGGCTCCCCGTTGGCTGCTAAATCTCTTGGGGTGCTATTGTCCGACACTCATGGAGACAAAGAACGATGGGAAAGCATACTAGGTGGTATGCAGATTCTTGAAGATGACAAAAACACAAACAATATATTACCAAGTTTGCAGATAAGTTATCAGCACTTGTCATATCATCTCAAACAATGTTTTGCCTTCTGTTCAATACTTCCTCCTGGTGTTGAGTTTGAGAAGGATGAGCTGGTTAGACTCTGGATAGCTGACGGTCTTGTTAAGAGTAATGGAAGGAAAAGGGTTGAGATGGAAGCTGGAAGATGCTTTGACGAGCTCCTATGGAGGTCATTCTTTGAAACTTCCCACAATTTCCCTAATCAAAAGTTTAGAGTGCCAAGTTTGATGCTTGAGCTAGCACAACTTGTTTCTAAACATGAATCTCTGACTCTTAGCCCTGACAGTTCACCGGTAGCTGAGCATCCTGAGTGGATTCGTTATACAACTATATTGGCCCCGTTCGCTTCGCTGAAAAAACAAGCCGAAACACTGTGAAAATTCAAGGCTCTTGAAATTATGCCCCACAACGAAACTACCCTTGAATCAGGTACCATCGGCACTTTTCTCGAAGCTAACCTGTCTGCGTGCACTAGACCTGAGTTACACAGAGCTGGACCTCCTGCCAGATTCTGTTGGATTTTGTATACACCTCAGATACCTCAATCTTCGGAATACTCTGATAAAGACTCTTCCAGAAACAGTCTGCAACCTATTCAATTTGCAGACACTTGACCTCAGGGACTGCTATTGGCTCATGGATTTGCCTGAAGGCATGAGCCGATTAGTTAACTTGCGGCACCTTAGTTTACATATTGATTGGGATAGAGTTACTGCTTTTAGATCAATGCCAAGTGGCATTGACCGGTTACAGTCACTTCAAACTCTTTCCAGATTTGTTGTGGTCTCCAGGGATGGAGGCAAGTGCAACATTAATGAGTTGAAGAATTTGAAGATCCGCGGAGAGCTTTGTATTCTTAATTTGGAAGCTGCCACCAATGATGGTGTCATGGAGGCCAATTTGCGCGGGAAGGAGTACTTGCGCGAATTGATGCTGAAATGGAGTGAGGACACCTGCAAGGACGAGCAGCAGAAGGGCATAGAGAACAGTGAGACGGTCATTGAGGCACTCTGTCCACATACCAGCCTTAAGCATCTGCGCATCGAAAATTACCCTGGAAGACGATTTCCTTCTTGCTTCGAGAACCTCTCGGCTCTGGAATCCCTGGAGATAATTTCTTGCCCCAGGCTCACTCAATTTTCCGTGCAGATGATGCAGTCTCTCAGGACTTTAAGGATACGTCAATGTGCTGATCTTGCAGTTCTTCCCAGAGGCCTGTGCAACCTAGAATCCCTTCATTGTCTGGAAACCGATGGTGCTCCAAATCTGAGAATAAGTGCAGTGGACATATTGCCAAGAAACATCTCACGGCTGTAAGTGGATGCGATGCGCTAGAGAGATGGTGCCTGGAAGAAGGCGCTGAGAGGGTGCAGCAAATTCCTGATGTAAGGATTCAATTTAGTAATTGATGCAGTGGAGTTATAAAGTTAGATATTTATGGCAATTTTCTCCTAGGCTCTTTGATGTGTCTGTCTGAATCGTGGTGTCAGTTCTTTTACCAGCTGAGCTAGGTTCCTGATTTAACATCAACTGTTGTGCCTTCTGATCTGTTGATGTGTGAGGTATATCCAAGGTAATAAATAGCGGTGGTAGCGGCCGCAATAGCGGTAGATTGCCGCGACCGCTACGAGGTAGCGCTCTGAACTTTGCAGCCTGGAACTTTGCGACCGCAATTCTGAATAGCAAGCGATATTGCGGGCCGCAATTGCGCGTAGCAGCAGACCAGTGATAGCGGAAGCAAATAATATGTTTCTTTGCAAACTCTTAATGTGATGATTTAATGCGTGGAACACCATGCTTGTTTTATTAATTTAAATATGTGAGACATCAGTTCTTTGAGTGCAATTAAATGTCTATTTATACTCATTATTTATGATATATGTATTTAAAATTATGTGAGATTACCAAGTGCCGCTATTGGAACTTATCATCCGCAATATTGCCCGCTATCCGCAATCCGCTACCTAGACGCCACTCCGCTACCAACCCGCTATACGCTATTTATTACCTTGGGTATATCTGAACATTTGATTGGCTATTGGAATAACATTTGTACTCCCAATTGAGATTTATTCCTTTGATCAAATATGTGGAGCCTTACTTGCATGATTTGGTCATTAAGTATATGATATATGATGTGCCTGACAATGCGTTGAAGTTTTGCTAGATTTATATGCACGCTCAATGGGCGCTTGTATGATGAGTACTGCTGTTTGCACTTTGCAGTCTAGGTTTACTTTGGGATGGGGGTCTGAATATGTCAAACCCTGAACAACAATTCAAATCGGTGAGTTGTTTGAATTCTATACATGACTATGTTCTTCACTACTCTTCGTGGATCCATCCATTCCAACCTCCGTGATCTGATTCCTGGGGAAGTCCGGAACTCCTTATTCAGTCTATTCACGTGGGGTATTCTTTTTTTTAGACAAATTCACGTGGGATATCTGGCTCGAACGAAATGCAAGGATCTCCAAGCAATCAGGCCAAGGCAGAGCAACTTCTTTTTGAACTCGTAAAGAAAACCGGAAGCTTCCCTTTGTGCGGAGCAGCTTAATTGTAACTTGAAAAGATACTCTCCCTATTGCAGAATGAACCCCTACACGGTAGTCTTGTTCTCATCTTGCTAAAACATTACAGGCACGTTAGCCTATGTAAACAATTCCTACAGCCTGATGTTTGTCCTTTGCAATCTCTGCGCATCTGTTTTTTGCCACAAGCATTTCCGTACAAACCAGCCTCACAAAGATATCGAGAACACCTACGAATCCTGATGAACAGAAAAGCACAAGAGAGAAACACAGAAGGCCCCTTCTTTTCAAACAACGAATGCAGGCGACCTCAAAGGTCGAGCAAGTAGAGTGCAGGCCGAATGCTGTCCGGTTACGCTCTAGCCCACTTGGGCGAAAGAGCCCAACACCGTGAGGCGGGCCGCGGGGTCGACAGCAACTCGCACGGAAAACAACAAGGAAAAAATCTACGTTACTTCCCTTAATTTTCGTAAAATTCTGTTTTTTCTCCCTGAACTTCAGAATTAGGTAAAACACCTCCCTCAACTTTTAAAACCGTCCATCTTACCTCCCTGTCCCTGTTATAAGCAGTTTTGAAGGCGGTTTTATTTTTTTCTTTTTTATTTATTTCGGCCGAATCTTTGAAAAATCATAGTAAATTATAGAAAAATCATAAAATAGAAAATCTAATTTTGTTGGACTCTACATGAGTAGATCTACACAGTGGACATATAATATGATACGTTTTAGTACAAAGTTTTTGCTGTGACTTTTGATCTATGCTTTTCTGTAATTAATTAAAATAGTTCATAGCTACAGTTTCTATGGTCCAATTGTGATGAATTTTTTTATGGTGGACTAATTATTATATAATTGAACTGTAGTAAATATTTCATACTCATTGGATCATGTATAGCTTAGTTATAGATTTATTTATATTTAACAAGCATAATCCTAAATAAAATCTATAACTAAGTTATACATGATCCAATAAGGATAAAATTTTTATTACAGTTTAAGCAAACAATAATTAGCCCACCATAAAAATTTCACCACAATTGGACCATAGAAACTGCAACTATGAATTATTCCATTTAATTATAGAAAAGAATAGATCTAAAGCTACAAAAAAAGCTTTGTACTAAAACATACCATATTATATGTTCATTGTATAGATCTACTCATGTGGAGTTCAACAAAATTGAATTTTCCATTTTATGATTTTTCTTTGATTTGATTTTTCAAAGATTCAACCGAAATAAATAAATAAGAAAAAGACAAAACTGCCCTCAAAACTGCTTATAACAGGGTCAAGAGGTAAGATGAACGATTTTAAAAGTTGAGGAAGCTGTTTTGCCCGATTTTAAAATTCAGGGAGAAAAAACGGACTTTCACAAGAGTTGAGGGGAACGGTTTTAAAAGTTGAGGAAGCTGTTTTGCCCGATTTTAAAATTCAGGGAGAAAAAACGGACTTTCACAGGAGTTGAGGGGGTAACGTGGCCTTCTTCCAAACAACAATAACGCACGCAGGTTCGGCGCAAGCTCCATTTACGCCCGTGTTTGTTGGTTTCCTTGTCACTTGTGAGAAGAGGCACATGAGCCATCAGTTATGAGCACATGTCGTGGAGCTGCAAGGCGCAGGAAACTGTCAACTTTGCACGGCGACGCCTTTGTCCCTTCCCTGCGCTGCGCCACTGAAAGCGAGTTCTCTTACTAGTACTACCTGGTGGACGAGAAACCATGCACTAGTAGCGGCTACGGGACTACAGGAGCCGCTGCCAGCCACTTGCAGGCAGAGGACGGCTCCAACGCCTCGCAGAAACGGCACACATCCTAAACGAACAAGGATAAAAAAGATCCACTGAAACTGAAAGCGAGAGCGAAGCGAAAGCTGAGGTGGAAATGCACTGCCGTGCGGAGCCACTGGGCAAAATTCGTGGTCCAAGTGGATTGGGAATAGGTTTGTATCACAATAGGAGGAACCCACAGCGCGAGCTGCCGTCGAAGCAAGGCTTGTACGTAGTAGAGTAGGATCGGCGACTTGGTGGCCATCTGCCGAACCCCGAGCTCGTGACGCCAGGCCAGGGCCAGGAGGGGAATCCTGACGTTAGCTCGCGCATCGCCGCGGAATATGCCCTGCCAGGAAGGCCACAGGTTGATGGATCCGTCAGTTGCCGTGAACAGCAGGCCCGCGTCGGCGTCGGCCTCGCTATCCGCCGGGTCCTCGGCGAGAGCGGGATCAGCCGTCCCCGCTGAAATCTCGGATCGCCCGGCGGCATCTTGCCCCGTTCGTAAGCGGCGGCGCTCGCACGCACGCTACGCGGCTACAGTCTCCCAAGCCCCAAGCCCAAGGCAAAGTGCGTCTCGCAAGTTGCCAACGCGTGTGTGCATTGGGTTGGGTCAGATCGAGGCCGACTCCTCCGGTCCTCCCTGCCTCGCGGATCCCCCATTCAGGAACTGGCCACTTGTGGTCGCCCATCTGATGACTGATGAGAAGGCCCATGTCGCGTGGCGTGACACATCCGCGTGTACACCAACCACCCATGAGGCAATCTCCGTCGATCTATCTCCAGGTCCTTTTTACCAGAAACAGATCGCGCCGAGGCCAAGACCGGCGCCGTCGAATCGAACCAGGATGAAAGTCGCGTCGGTCACTCGTCGCACGGCGGACGCAGCAGCCGCGCCGCTGCCAGCCCCACTCTCCCACCTCCTACCATCGCGTCCATCTGTTGCTTTCAGGCAGCCAGCCTGGTAGGCAACCATCCGGCCAACCCAGCCACGCCATCATCCCACTTCTTGGTCCCCATGGAAACACTGCTTTCCTGTACTAAACCGGGTTTCGCATTCGTATCAAAATCCGCAGAATTCAGCACGAATTCGAACCAAACATCCCCCGCGACGACAAAATTCTACTATCACCATCTGATGGCCACGTCCCATCCTCTCGCTGTCCCCGTGGTCGGCACTGTACGCCCGGCCCGGCTCAACAGCCCCAGCCCCCAGATGCCGTGACCTCGCCATCGTACGCCGCACCTAGCCGGGAAAAACAACGGTGTGGCCAGTGACGACGGGCTCGCTTTCAATTCACCAGTCACCAGTCACCAGCGAGCCGAGCTCCCCCGTCCAGCGTGGCAGGCAGGCCCGCCGTGCCATCATCAAGCACGTCGAGATCGACCCGGAAAGCATGGCTGGGTTCAGTTGATCGTGCCTCGTGCGCTTTGTTAGGCAGCGGAGACCGTTCTCCGGCAGACAGTCCATGGACCGATATGGCATCCCACACACACGTTTTTGATGAACCGATTCTCTACTTCTTTTGAGCCCACTCATTTGGCCAGTTTGTTAGTTCCAGTTGAGCGTTGAGTCCAAACAAATCATTGGGGCCTCATCTATTTTAATCTGAGCTACGGCATGGAGACCTGCTCTTTCGTTTGCCTGGTCCATGAAGTTGGAAAAAAAAGAAGTCGTGCTACAATAAAGAATCAGGCGCCTAAGCATGTGTTTTAAGCAGCTAATTTTGCCTCAGAATATTGGTTAGTTAAGAGCAGTGCTGGTTTATTCCTCTGCTTGATCCCCACCTATGACCTATCACCATCATTCATAAGCTCAGCAATGGACCAAAAAGTAATAATAAAACACATAAAAGAAGAAGTAGGATGTAGAGTTGGAGCACTATAACCATTGTTTTAGGTTAACAAAAGTAGTATAATTGGCCGCTTGGGTGGCTAGCGAATATCAAAGGGGCAATTTGACCATCCCAAGTCACATCAGCCACCTGTCTCGTTTAACAATTAAATTAAATTATGCTGCACATTTTAGCTTAATAGAAATCTAAGCGTTTTCTTTAGGGGCGGATTAGGTAGATCTCAAGAAGGCTTTGGAGCCGACAGGGCCCAGATTTGGTGGCCTCATTACCCGTAATCACCTTAGCTTAGATCAGACTCAACTCTTCACTCTTTCCCCCCTGCCCCTGGATTAGTTTCTTTCACCGCAGACCGTCCCAAGAATCTTCATGCCTCTTCAGAAATGGACCATGGTCCCAATGAACAGAACTCTGGGGCTCTGGGCGAAATGATCAGGAAATTCAGCTGGAGTCGAAACGACTTCTCTGAATACAGTAGTGTATATCTGCAGAAATCTTGCAGCGGGCCCAAACGCTTGGATCCGCCGCCACGGAAACAAGAACCCGCAATTGCTCTCCAGCGAGCGAGCCGTCCCCATCCTGATCCCCGGCCCATCCCCATCCCCTCCATCTCCATGATCCAGCAAGTACGGGAGCTCCCGTCCCACAGCATCCAGCTCCAGCAGCGAGCATGTGAGGAGGAGGGCTCACAGCAGGTCACGCCAGCATCACAAGCGCAAGGATAAGATGGGTCATGGTGGTCTCATGGATGATGACGGGTGCTACCACACCAAGCAAGGAATGAATAAAGGGAGGAGGGCTCTTGCGATCAAAGAAAGGACCATCCAGTTTCTTGAGCATCAAAATACTTGCAACGGTTTGGACGGCCTAACTTTCCTTAGGGCTGCCACTTCGCGTTGACCAGGCTTTGGCATGCCTTTTCTAAGCATCTTGATGTGAAAGACACTAGTGCTGCTAATCTCTCTTTGACAAAACGGTAACTGAAGCAACAGAAGATGGTGGATGTATTTTACGGTGGAAGTTCTTCGTTTGGTCCAATGGAACGAGGAAAAGGATCTAACGGATCGGTGTGATTTGGGTGTATATCAATATCAAGCTCAGTGGAATTCAGGCGGATTTTCCGCCTAATATGACAGAAGTGCCTTTCAATGTTTACCGTCTTGACAGAATTTCAAGGCACGACAGATACGGGACTAGGGAAATTTCAAACACGTTAGGTTGGAATTTTTCTCAAAATTTGACACCGACAGAGGAAAAAAGCCGTAGAAATTGCATCGATCAAACATGTGAATGCCCAAAACCTTTAACAAATTGAGTGAGTCGGTCAGGTCAGCTTGTTTTTTTGTCAAGAGAAGCAGTGAGGATGCACCTCAGCAACAAAGAGCAGAGATCTCGAGCAGAATTACTCAAGAAAACACTTCATTCAGACACCAAATAACAGGTAGTACAACATCACATACAGAAATAAGCACAAGCATTTTAACAGCCATATATATGAACAGCATTGAAACTAACAAATTAAAACTAGGAATAACATCAAGTTTCCATAATAGGTTTATGGCTGGACGGGCATACAAGTATAAACCAGTTCCAAGTTCCAGCCGTCTTGCAGCTACTGCAAAACCTATATGACAGACCTATAGACTTGACAACTTGGGAGAACCATGGAGCACCATGGAGAAATCCAAAGCTTATAACGAGGTTTTTCAGCCCTACAAGTTTATTCTTCAGTAGAACCAATTGGTCCCGTCCTTCTTCTGCACCGCGCCTGGGTAATCAACGGTGCTAGACATGTTGAAACCAGAACCGAACCTGAACTCCGACGTGCTGGTGATGTCGCCCATCTGGCTCACGAATGGTGTGCCATCACGGATGAAGAACTGCTGCTGTTGCTGCTGCACTGGTGCCTGCTGTTGTTGCTGCATCATGCTATTGACATCGTCAAAGACTCCGTTGCCCTGTCCAAAGAAACCCTCATCCATCTGGATCCTCTGGGGCATCGCATTAGGCCTCTCCATGATGGCGACGCTGTCACTGCTTATGTTCTTGTTCGTCATGAAGTTGTTGTCGTACATGTTCATCAGCTCGGCAATGGACCTCTGGCCATCCATGGGCAGGCTGAAATCCAGATTGTTCAGTGCCTGATTGGGTTGGTTGAAGGCCGGCTGGAAGGCTTGTGACTGTGGCGGTGCTGGCGGCAGCTTGTTCTCAGTGCTCTGAGGGATTGGATCGTTGTACTTACAGGTGTACTGGTGGCTGTTGCGGGTATTCCGGTCAAGGAATCCATAGCTGTAGTCATTGTGCGGGCACTGGACGTTGTTGCAGGTGTACACTCGGTTGTTTAGCATTAGCTCTGGCTCAGCAGCGGTGGGGGCGTTCCTCTTCTGGATGAACTCGACGTCGGCAGTCTCCTCCTTCATCGGCGTTGGCACGAGGAACTTGTCACTTAGGACAGCCGCACCAAGGTTGAACGTGGTTGGGTCAGTGACTGCCGTCTTCTGGCTGCCGGCCTCATCCCCCTTGCACTCATCAATGATGTTCACATCATACTCGCTTGAGCTGGTGTTGAAGGATATGGCACTGGCGATCCCACCAGTAGATGCCGGTGGGCGTGCGCCGGGGTGCAGCTTCAGGTACAGCTCCTCTTCCTGCTTGACTACTGCCAGCCAGGTTGAGATCTCCTTGGCAGTCATCTTGTCCTGGAGGCACTTGGACTGGCGAACGAGGCGACGGATCTTCTCTATGTCTGGTGACATGTGCTTGATGACAGCGGTGAGCACGCTCACCTTCCAGGCCTTCTTAAGGTCATGAGGCTTCTTGTAGGGGGGTGGGCCCTGGTCCTTGGGGATGCCGAGTTCCGGCCACCACTCCTCGTCGCCGGTAGGCCACCACGGTGGAGGAAAGCCCTTCTCCAGCGGGTAGCGCCGCTGTGGGGGGTCGCAGTGCTGCATGAGTGCTGAGAGCAGTGAGCCCAGTGTAGTGTCCTGCAGCTCCTGCAAGGAATGAGGGCTGGCAGCGCCCGAGGTGAGCTCGTTCTCGGCGCCAGGGACGGCGTTGTCGGCCTGATACTTGGCGATGGCGGCCGGGCCGTTGCGGTCGAAGCGGACCTTCTCCTTCCACCACGCACGGAGGTTGTCAGAGGCGCCGCTCACCGGCTTGCCCTTCTCTGGAATGATCCCATACACAAACCCCTGCGCACGGCACACCTCCATCATCTTGAGCATGTACTTGAGGATGCCGTCCTGCGCGCGCGACATCTTCTTGCGTCGGGCCTGCTCCAGTGACTGCCTTGGCTTGGACGAGCCGTCAGCCAGGCCCCCGCCGCCAGCCATCGAATCCTTGCCACGGCTCTGCTCCAGCTCCCTGAGCCGCTTCAGCTTCATGCGGTCGCGCCACATGCGGCGCTCCAGCTCCTCGATGTCCTCAACGTCATCGTCACTGTCGTCCTCCCCGGCGTCCGGGAAGCTCTCCGGCGGCGGGTCCACAAGATCACCCTCCCCCATCACGCACTGGTCGCCAGAGGACGTCTGCGGCATCAGCGACCCAAAGCCCAGGTTCTTGTCGCCGTTCTGCTGCAGGAGATCCACGAAGTTGTGGACGCCAGGGAACACCACGCTCTGATCCATCATCAGCCCGCCTCCCATCATCGTGACCTCAACAAACACCACACCCAACAAATTCACTCGCAGTCAGGGGCAGATTGACTCTCTTCCTTGTACTGCTACTTGTAGTATTCACCTGCGCGGAAGCAAAAAGGAAGATGAACACGTCAGCTGCTGTGTTTTACTGTCAGTAATTAAGTGCAAAGACAATAAGTGTAGGGTAAAGGTAAACATGTGCAACACGATTGCGTGTTAGTAGTAAAAAAAAGTAATTAAGATGGCCGAGTGAAGCTTATTGTGGCATCTTAATTAAGTGATTACACGATTTGCAAGGGCCTTTTGCCTTGGCATCATAGATCTACACAGCTATAGGAGACAATCATGTGGCAGCAAAAGGGCAAGCTTGCCTATTGAAGCAACAATCGGGAAGGCCAAAGTTAACAGCCTAGCATGTGTTTGGTGAAACAGAACAGGGCCTTGATCTGATCAAACTACACATGGACACTTCCCCCATAATCCTTCTTCTGAAATTGATACTTCTAAGACTAACAGGGACCAAATATAGCACAATCCTTATTGTTTTGACATAAAGGAACAGATTACACAGCATGGAAGAGTAATATGCATCAGAACATACTTGTGGAAGAAGGAATTCAAGCATGAAAACGCATGACCGTAAATACTTCCACCAAATAACTACTTCTCATATGCCGGTTCACTGGAACAAGCACGTAAAGTTGCATCTTTTTCCCCTTTTTACGAAAGCATGTGCAAACGTATGAACGTAACCTCTGATTGAATCACGAGGGGGAAAGATTAAAAAAAAAGGTCAAAAGGCAGGGAAGGAAGGCTTTCCAGTAAATAATTTTTTATAGATCTATTTGTTTTTACCCAGACAAGCACAAATGGACAGTTGGTAACAAGAACATGTACCCATGAGCTTCACAAAGGGAATCAAGGTCATCTATGAAAAAGAAAAACAAGGGACGAAATGGACTAGGCACATATCGAACCTAAAGAGAACTGATCAAATTTTCCACCTCCAAAGATGATGCAGGGAAAAAAAAACTTTTCCCTGATTATAAAGGAACAAAGTGTTTCCATCATACCCGGCTGCTATACACTTCCTAGAACGAGCTCGGCCTTTGACTAAGCGAAGTATTGAGATCCAAGCGAAGCTTAAAAGAAAAATAACAGAAAAGAGACATAAGAAACTCAGGTTTTTGGATGGGAGCTGCAACATCATCCAGGGCATCAACCTTGGAACTCTGCCATGGATTTAGCCGCAGCTATTACGCAGAAGGACAAACACATCAGCAACGGAAGGAAGGATCAGAAAAGAACTCAAACGGGAATTGGCCACTGCAAGAAGCTACAGGATCCTGAAAAAATCTAGAGAGAAAAAAAATCTCCCGAAAATTTATCGCTCTACATATCCACCAGATAATCAGCCGACCACCCTCCAACAGCACAAGCAGACATCAACGAAGAAGAGAAGGAGCAGCCACACAAGAACTGAGAAGGATAGGAGGCCCAGGTAGGTAGGAGGAACTCACCTAGCTCTTCCTGTTTATCTCCCACTTGCTATTTTCCCCCGTGTCCCAGCTTTGCCATGACCTGGGAGACAAGACGGAGAGAAGCGGGCAAGAGGGAGGGAGGGAGGAGGAGAAGAAAGGGGAAGGGGGGAGGAGGGGAGGCACGAGGTGGGGGATAAGAACGGGGGACGGCCAGGGCCTCTCTCCCCTCTGGCGCAAAGTAATCACAGGCAAGTGGGCGTGCTGGTGCCTGGTGCTGGTGGTGCTCTGCTGCTCGGCCTCTACAGAGACAGCCCGGCTTTTATAATCTCCCCTCTTAAACTAATGATCCCCTGCCTCCACTCACGAGCCGCCACTGCGTGTCTGCGATGCTGCGCGGCGGTAAAAAAAAAAGATCTTGCTGCTCCGTAATCAGTAATCACCCGCGTGATGGCGCGCTTTAACCGCCACCTGGTGGCGTCTGCCTGTGACACGCGGGGCCCGGTTGCCTCCTCTCCCGGTGTGGCTGGCGGGGTCCGAGGAGGATCGGGGCCGCCCGTAGAGCTAGGACAAAAGCGCTAAAACGAAGGAGAGTGGATGCTACCGGTGGGTGCCAAGTTATCTGTTAGGCATGGTTTAGTTCGCGAAAAGTTTTCTCAAAAAGTGATACAGTATTTATTATATCAAATTTTACGATATATGTATGGAGCATTAAATATAGACAAAAAAAACTAATTACACAGTTTGGTTAAAAATTACGAGACGAACGTTTTAAGCCTATTTAGTCCATGATTAAACACTAATTATAAAATAAAAAAAAAAATACTACAATAGCTAAATTTTTAACTTTTCACCGACTAAACACGGGCTTACCCTCGCAGATGGGATCCCTCCCCCGCGTTCTTCGGCTCGATGTGGCTTCTGCCGCGCGCTCGTCTATCATCGAGCCATCATTCGTTCGTACGGCAAATAGTTTTACCTTTGGTTATTTCTTTACGGTAGTATAGTAGAGGTGTGTACCTTATGTATAAATAAATTTAGATGCAGAATTAGAAGACTATTTAAATAACTAGTTAAAATGTACGTGCCTAGAAAACATTAGTCGTTTTTATTTGCCATTTTTTAGCTTACTTACAGTTATCATCTTATCCTAGTATTTCCACGTTTATTTGAAACCAACATTTTTTTATCATTTGGAACTATGTTGAAGTGTCATTGGAGCGCCAGTTCTACTGTCCCTGCCATTAGTGTATATTTGTTTGAGTGGAAGTTGTTAGTGTACATGTATATTCCACATGTGTCTATGAAATTTTTTATAAAATCACAAGAACAGTAATGTCATTTTTTACAAACTCTTCATCATCATAGTGAATTCCATCATATGTTTCCTCGATGAATGACCTTACCTCTAGACTCACTCTCATCACTCTCATCATCTGCTTGACAATGCCATATAGTGATTTTCTTTGATTGTTGATGGACAAAGAAGTCGATGGCTATGAAAACTTGTAGTTTGTTTGACGAAGTTTGATGCCCGCATGGGAGCGTATCTTCTGACTACAATCTTGCTATTATTGGTTCCCATCCGCTAACTATGATCATGACAATTTTTGTGTAAGAGTGTCAAAGTTTTGTATTTACCAGAGCCATATAACTCAAAGTTTTCATGACCTAGGTCTGCATAGTAGTAACCCTTAAGTTGGCATGGTTTAAGTTGGCCCTTTGTAAACAATAGTCCTGTAATATGAAGAAATACAACTTCAAATAAGAATTACTCATATAAACATAAGCCAACCAAAAATGTCATTTGGCTACACATTTACAATTGTTAAGAGCAAATCGAAGGCAATATTTTGTTATCCCTATAGAAAATTAAAATTCTTGCCAAAATTCCATTCTCAAAACTGTGCTTAGTGGGGACTCCTGGTCCTTTTCAGCCCTGAAACCTAATGAAATCAAAGCATAAACAATTTTTTTCTAGTCAGAAAAGGGAAGCACCTTGAAGATAGTGAACATTAAGCGTGCACCTTGAATATTAGTAAAAAAACAGTTTTGCCTTCTTCTATTTCTTTTTGTTTCAAAGAAGCTCACCTCTTTGAAAAAGTCATGTGGCAGAGCGACCATGATGTCAGCACTGTCTCTTGTGTTCTTCTTGCAACCGCAGGCACCATGATGCGCCATTCTCTCAAACATTTCGATAGCATTGTTAACCTGGGATAAAAAGGGGAGCAAAATTGGCATCCCGAAAGTGATAAATCAAATAATGTTTAACTACTTAGCATTTAGAAATTTATTAGGTGAAGAACCATAGGAAAGAGCAGAGCATTACAAATGAATCACATGTGGGATTTGAATCATAAAACACAAAATAAGAATTGTCTACGTTGGTACTCACGATTTTTGGCCCGAGCTTGCTCTAATTTTGATGCACCAGCCTCGTCCTTTAGATGAGTTAGACGACTACGTTGATACTCACGTTTTTGGCCCGGGATTCCTTCTTATTAGGAGACAATGCAGCATACCTCTCTCTATGTTACTGTTTTTTTCGTTGAGAGCTTAGCTCGCCAACATTTGTTTGAGATGACTCTATCACTTCTGTACCTGTATTGTATCAACCTGAATATAAGGATTATTCTAAGCGCCGCAGGTCCATTGCATAGGTATATATTAACAAGCTCAGGAATGCGTAGCAGCAGTGTTAAACCCAACATGCTAGTCAACAGAAGTTCAAGCTATTGCTGAAAAACTATAATAAAAGATCTATTTATTTGTGTAAATAGAGGAGGTCACTTCGATGTGATAATGGAGGAGAATATACAGGAACACATGAATAGGCGACAGGATAGGGTAAGAAAGAGGTGGATAGATCCTTTTCTATGCATTTTAGCAGTCTACCGTTAGCATTGGAGAATTAAGTATAGTTCTTCAATATGTATACCTTAACTTTAACCATCTTATATTTGTATCATTTAAATTGATTCAAGGAAATACACTTTTCTTAGCATTTCTTCAAATCAACAAAGAGAATACAAAAACACACACACACACACACACAAACGGATTTCAAACTTTTCAAAAATGAACGTCATCAATGTGATAGTGAGAAGAATACATAGAAATGCGCCAAACAGGTAAAAAAAGGAAGGAAAAGAAAGAGAGTAAGAGGGGCTAGGTTTTCTATGAAGTATATCTCATTCATCTTAAACATATAAATCAGTGTGTTTTATATTTTAGTTTTGTCTAGCATAATGCCTCAATGTCTTAGTAGGGTGTATTTGGGTTCCATGTGCACTTTCTTTAAGTTGCTAACCATTTACACCTAAGAATTTAGTATATCTATAGCCCTTCAACAAACTAAGACCTCCTTTGGAATACAGGAACGATAAAACACACGAAAAAAAATATAGGAATAGAATAGGAATGCAAGTGCAAAACAGAGGAATAAAAAACATAGCAATTTTTCATACCTAGGTGTTTGGATAGGCAAAGGAGAAACACCGGAATCTTAAAAGGATTTGTAGGAGTAAAAAG